AATGTTTGACTGAGAAGTCGTTTGTAAAAAAAAAAAAAAAAAATTAATTAAAGCTATCTGGAGCTCAATAAAAGCGTGTCCAACAGCAAAATTCGTGGGTCGGGCGAGCGTGATCTGGTTTGACTGAATACTCCTTCTCTATCGACCTCGAAAATTTTTAAATACACGTGAAATCGCCGTGACGCGCTGAACTCACACAAGGACGACCCATTGCCATACGTGCATCGCCATTTTCTATTCCTACCGCGCGCTTCCTCTACAGGTAAACCTTAGTGCGTTGTACGCGGAGACAGCGAAGACTCAGGAAGACCCAGGAAGGATGTGGATTGGTTGGCCTCTGTTTTAGGCTCTTCTAGCCAAACCCATGGGGGAAAAATTGTCCTTGGAGACCTCACGCATCATTCTAGTGTTGTTTGTATTCTCTGATTTTCCGGGGGGGTTGCCTGTAGAAAACTTTAGCCTTTCAGCAGCAAGCAACTAGCAACCAGTTCACACGCATGCAAAGCTCTTCTTGGGTTCGATGCCACTAGCATGATTAGTGACGTCATGACTGCCTAGCTAAGCCATAATTATTGAATCGAATTTTGAATTATCGGTGTATCAATGCTGTGCAGACGGAATGCGAAAATGAATTTTCCTCCATTAAATGTACAGCAGGCATCCACGCCTAAACGGGTTGCAAAGAGTTTCGACTTAAACATGAAGTAAGTTTGCGCTTTATTTATTCCACGAAGAAACCTTCGTATCAAACGACCGTTAATTTTGGTTTCTGAGCGTCAATCACTTCTTATCTTTAACTTCCAGGCCAGTTCATGAGCATTCTGAATCGTTGATCTCATCCAGCGCCTTTGGAAACTTCAAAGGATTTTTGAACTTGGGCTTTGTGCTCTTAGTAAGTAACAAGTAGACGACGAGCAGTCCTCTTTCGCTCAGTCCGTCGTGCGTGACGCGAAAAAAAACAGCTGCGAGTAGAAAAGTAACCGCGCGAGATCCTGGGCGCGGCCACTTTTTTACCCGCGGTTTTCTTCCGCGTCACGCACGACTGACCGTAAATTGAAAGAGGGGCTACTCGTAGTCTAGTAAGAAAAGACAAATTTTAGATAAAAGTCATCCCGCGGTGCTCAAAGTACGAATATTTTTTTCTGGTTCTTAAGAAAAAAAAAAGCTTATCGTAAATAGTCGCTTCTGATTAGTGGTAAATAATTAATATGTCAACTATAATATAAGCCATTTCCGAGGTACCTTGCGCCTCTGTTTCAAAACGAGTCCGCGTACAAAGCTTTTCATATGAAAAAAAGAGATTTATTTATATGAAAATGTAAGTGCAGATGGGCCACTTTTTCCATGTTTGAATGGTTTTGGCGAACACTTGTTTTGATACAGGGGCAAAGGCAGCTGAGAATTGGCCTATTGATCTGATACAGTTGAACTCCGGTATTTCGAACTCTCAGGGGAAATGAATGACAGTTCGAAATAGCGGGTGTTCGATTGACTGAAGGAAGGAGAAATCCAAGGAAAATAGTTTTGAGTTCGAAATAACGAGGAATTCGAAATAGCCGAGATCGAATAAGCGGGGTCCAACTGTAGTTGAATGGTTTTGAATATTCTGACACCAACGGTTTTTTTTTTATATATATACAGTATATATATAGCCACGGGGCCGGATTTTTGTGATATGCGCGGTAAATTCAACTTACACCCAGCTTGTAACAGTGTTGAAATATAAGTAAAAAGTAAACAAATATTGCGGCGACGCCATTTTCATACCAACAAGTGGCAACTGTCCAACTGAGTAATATAAAAAAAGCTTATCGGAATTCTAATGAGCAAATGCATGGGACTCAGTAGGGTAATTTGTGTACAAAAAGAGAAGAATGCTTACGAGTATGCGCACGGAGAGTACGAAAATCAAATAATGATGCTGATGATGATGATAATGATAATGATAATAATAATAAAACACCCCATGAACATGCGCGATTCACTGACGAGTGACTCTTGTTGAAGTTGAACCGCGAAAACTGTCACATTAATTTACATTGGCACTCGGTAATCTAGCCGTGTGGATGTGCTTGCCTGTTGCACCTGATTTAGATGTGATAAACTACTCGATGTGTAAATGCAGTCGGGTGCATCTAACCCACACACGTCTGGAGAAAACAAAGTGATCCTATTGGGTAGTTGGTCATTACCCATCGGTTTGAAGTTTGGCATACCTTCACGCGAACGTTCGCGCCCAATAGAGTTGTCAATATGTTTTTAATAAATAAGCAAAGTGGAAACTTAAAACATGGATTTCTAAGGAACGCCTGATCTTAAGTTTCGTCCACAGTTACGGACATATTTACGCCTAGATCCAAACGACTGTATTTCAACGAATATGATACTTTCTGCATTATTTCTGTCTGGTAATAATTGCCTGTCACCCTACGAGGAGAGCCGAGTTATCTCTTTTTTGAGCGGTTAGGGGAAGGAAAGAACTGCAAACGCTCTACTTGCAGGGTGCACCTATTTAAAGCTTGATACAACTAGTAAATAAACAGATTGAAACAAACGAATACGTAAACAAACAAGCAAACCAAAAAGATAAATTCTAAAACAACTGTTATGGCAGCCTATGTATTAAATGTAAGTCCATCGATTGAGGTTTGCTTTCGATTTCTGATACAACTGGCAATTTACTAAGTCACTGCTCAGTTACACTCCTGCATTCTGTCAAAGTCGTTCAAAATCCTAGAAATTTCAGGCATTTTTCAGCCTTAGGAACATTACTTAGTGCGCGCGCAAATTGTTTGAAGGATTCAAGATCAGTTCATAAATAAAAGGTAAAAGATTTTGCTTTAGAAGATGACATAAGATTGAAAAAGAGCTATTGACTACTTTCAGCAACTAACATAGTGCGGCTAAATTTATCCCCTCCCCTGAAGATCCAGAGTTACTGATGTTTCCGATGCCAACAACCTCGTTCCCGGGTTCTCTCTTTACCTCAAGAACGAGGTTGGGATGCCACGAGCTGATTAATGACGTCATAATGACTAATCGACACTAATCGAATCAAGTGTGCTGTGAGCAATCAAGTGCTTTTTGCAGAACTTTTGATTCTTTTAATTCCTTCGGAAGGAATTAAAAGAATCAAAATGATGAATATTCCTCCACTGAAAAGGATATCATCACTGCCCAAAATGGCAAAAAAATCATCCAAGACCAACTGGAAGTATGTTTTCGCATGTGTACATTAACAACCCTTTTTCTTAGGTACGGTTTTAGTTCCTCCGTGATACTCTGACTCCTGTTTATTAAAATCGATTTCTCTCTCCAGTTCCAGTGTGCATAGCTTTGCGGAATCTTTAATCACTTCCTTCAGCGGTTTTGAGAGTTTTCAAGGATTTGTAAATTGGGCATTTTTGTTACTGGTAAGTCATGGTAGACTCAGTTTAAAAACTTACCGCGTAATTTTTACTGGGACATCGCGACGGACCACGGACGGACCACACCTCACCAAGACGGGCGAGAAAATTCTAAGTCGGAGTGCCCGAAGTGCTTTGAAAAGTTCGAGGAATTTTTAAAGCTAACCTTGAAAAGGTTGTTACTTAGCAATCCTTTAAACATTTCAAAACAATACCTGAATACCGCGTCGGTTACAGGAGGAGTCAGAAAACTACCCGATCGAGGCCTGTATTGAAATCCCGAAGCCCGAGATGCCAACCTAAAAAAATCAAGACGTAATTTTACTTTCTCAACCCGTAAAAACGCTCACATCTGATTGGATATGATGAGAGATAAGTTTCGCGTCATAAATACGCGCCTCACTGCAAACTCTTTTGTATCTCGTGGAAGTGTCAAAAAGTCATTGAACAACGTTGACAAATTATAAAATTTACCACTCAGCGACAAATTTATGCCGGAAAGAGAAAAGAAAACCGTCACGGTAAGATGATAAGTAGTCTAACAAAGTCTACATTCTCAAAGCAGTAAACAAATTTTAAACAACAAGAGTGCGATTATAAAAACGCCTGTCACATTTTCTCTAATTTCTGAAATTGTAGCCCAACTATGTATTTTTTTTCTTGAATTTTCATTCGACTGAACTATTTTTTAGACGTTTAAGTTAACCGTTAGTCCATCCTAATAAAATTTTAAATTTTCTAAGCCTTGGAGCCAGTTTGTAGGATTTATCCTAATTTTTAGAATGATCTAGAAGTGTAAACACCTTGCAAAATTTAAGCTCATTCATGAATTCGGTCCGTAACCTGAGTATACTGTATTTTAAGCTTTAAAAAGCTTGAGGATACGAAAAAAATAAGAACTAAGCTAATATTGTATCATGTTCTTGTTTCTCCACTGTGTCTAAAATAACCAGATAGGCATAAAGTAAATCCTCGAATTAGCGCCCGGGCACTTATTAATTTAGGAGAAGACGGAAGGTGCTCAAGCGAGGGAGGCGCTTAATCGAGGGCGTCGCTTATTTAATTTTTCCTAAATCGTGGTCAGATATGATCGGGTTTTTTTTGCAATATATGTAGGTGTCAGTCCCTCAGAAGTCTCAGAAGGATCCTGTCTCTCTTGAAGAACTACGTAATATAACCTCTTTAGCTGGTCTAAGCCTGCTGCACAAGGTTGGTTGGGCAGTTAGGCAATGAATCAGGTAGATCTTCACCACCATCCGTTGCGAAGGTCAATGCACCGTGCTTGAATGAGTCGATAATCACTTGTTTGTGACTGAACACGACCAAAACTACACATCTTTTGTTGGCTCAGTACTTTTCTATAAGACAAGGGGAGGGGGGCGCTTATTCGAGGGGTAGACCACGAGTAGTCCCTCTTTCGCTTTCGATTTCGCGCGGCCATTTTTTCCTCGCGGTTTTCTTTCGCGTAACGCACGACGGACTAAGCAAAAGAGGGGCTACTCGTAGTCTATTCGAAGGGAGGCGCTTGTTTTAAATTTTGGCCGATACTGAGGAGCGCTTATTTGAGGGGAGGCGCTAATTCGAGGATTAGACGGTTATTGAAATAACTTACATCATAATCACAAGAGAACAGTACAAAACTACTGGCTTTATCCATGATGAAATTAATAAATAAACCGAAAAATAATCAAGAAAATTTGTAAAAATGTAACCAACTGAGCCGCATTTCTCTTACCAGCGGTTTCGAATTGCAGAAATTACCGAGTAGGGAGGAGTAGGGGTAGGCAGTCTAAAAGCTATCAGGAGAAGACTCAACAGATTTTTACAACACCTTTGACCTGAAACCTTTATATCTGAGACAAAAGGCGAGAAATAATTTCCAGAATCTTGCCATAAAATCTTGTTTATTAAAATATAAACTAAAATATGGACATTCGGCTTCGAAGTCATTATAAATTCGCATTTTTCCCTACCCCTGAGAGATTGTAAGACCATTCACTATCACGTGCTGAGTTGTTGATATCACCGATCGCTGGTCGAAGGTGATGTTTGGGGAGAGAAAGCGAAGGACAAAGTAGACTTATGTATTCTTCAGAACCATGAGTTCGACCACGTTAAGACACAGATCGACGCCCAAACGAGTGGAAAAGTCTACAGAAACGAAATCGAAAACGAAGAACTCGATTGTCGATTATGGAACACCGTGAGTGATCAGATAGGACGTTCCGTAAACATTGGGTCCAGGAACAATATATTTTTCTCAGATTTTCCCATTGCACATTGAAAGAGGTTCTTGTCTCGAATTCCAGGGTTCACAAGTGTGAAGAATCCCTTTTAACATCCACCAGTGGTTTTGACAACTACAGAGGGCTAGTGAACTTATGTCTTGTTCTCCTGGTAAGAAAAAAAAAATTTGGAATAGATAGAAGCATTCCCGCCGGAAAATTTCGAAATTTTTCGATAGCGATTTTGCTGAAGCGGCGAAAAATGTCTGGCCATCCAGGTAAATGGAAGTCTGTTTTACCTTCCACCACTCGAAAGTGGTGGATGAAATTTTCGTGTCCTGGATCACGTAGTGTATACAAATGTCGTAATCAGTCTTTTTGCATACTTTACAGGTTGCTAGTTATTGTTCCCTTTTGGAGACATTTACATCTCCACATTTTATTGAAAAATGTTTCCTAAACAATGAGTAATTTTTACATGATAAAAGAACTCATTTCCTAAAGGAGAAAAAACTAAACCCCAACCTGAGTGGGCTTGGATGCCGTCACGTTCAAAAGTGAAATTTAACTTGTTAAGTCTGTTTTTTCTTTAGGGTAATTTAGAAAATAGCTAAGATCTATCATGCACTGT